TTGGATTTTTAAGACATTTTATTGTTTTTATTAAAACTTGTACCCCTGCTTTTATCTTGGCCTTTTATTTAACAGTGGTTTTAAATCGAGTCAAAAAGAACCTCACATCTGGTGTAAACTTAATTTGGAGAGTGTGTCTGGATTTCACACTCAGTGACCATGATGAATGTTTGCACCCTTACAGTAGTTTTGCATGGCAACATTTAACTTTTGGTTCTATTTCATACCTCCTGACCAACAGAGGCGGTGCTATAAGCACCGAATGATCATCTTTGAGCATGCACAGTTCAAGAATTAAATGACAACAAAGTCACTTGTGACTTCTCCGTGACCCCCGGGAGTCTATATAGTCATGTGACATGAGAGCTCAGTGCCTTTTCGCCTCCCAAGCAGGCCCAGGGCCCGGGACACTCTGGCTGTCATCCAGGATTCATAGAACCGTAGTTTTAGTTGTAACTCTCGTTCTATTTCATCCTTTCTGACTTGGTGCCTTAAGCACTGGATGACATATACCAACAAGGTCCCGAGGGGAGGGGTCAAACGCGAGGTACACGCAGTACACAAGATTCATTGAACCTTATTTATAGTTAAATTATTAGAATGCTTCTGGGTGGGACAACTGACAACTTCCCTTCTGTTTTTTTAGTAAGAATTTGTAAGGTTGATTTAAGTTGCAATGAAATAAAAACGCACGTTATTTTAATACATTAAATGAGTTCATTACAACTGTACATTTACAGTGGTTAAAATAATGAGAAACTATTAGCTAGAGAACCAAGTTTTCCTAACATAAAAATTAAAAAGGTTCCAACATACCGGAATAATTTGTAGTACTATAAAAGCTGCATGCAAGGATCATTTCTAGTTTTGAGTTCATTTAATTTTTGTAAACACAAATCTTTTGGGGCTACCACAAAACCTTTAGGTTAATTCAACTTATTTGGGTTTACAGTATGACATCATAGGTATAAATTACAATATTTTTCCATTGTACTACCATTTCTATTTACAAAAAGAGGTATAAAAGAACTGCTTAGAGCATTCCCCCAGCAGATCTTCTTGGTTCGGGGCGTGAATCCTCTCTGCTCTGGTCTGGATCATTGTAAAACCATGAACACTACCACAGTAACATTTACAGGTAGAAAAACTTTTTTTTGTAAAGTACAAAACAACACTGCAAGTCTTGCTGCCATTTCCATTGTATTAAAAAGTCATATTATTTGCAAAGTTACAATCAGTAATTAAAATGAAAGATAGAAAGTCCAAATTGAAGTGTATTTTTTATTTAAATTTCACAGCATGTCCACTGCAGAGGACAACAGGTTGATATCCGTGTAAAAACACCGCAATTTAGAAAGTGAGAAAATAAGAGCAAATTATATCTTTAGAGGGACATTAACCCAAGAACACATTCAATTTTAACAATAAAAAAAACAGTGAATGGGATGATTTGCTCATCAATGCACACTTTTTTTGGGGGCGACAGTAGCTCAGTTGGTAGAGCATTGGCCTTTAGGCCTGGAGGTGGTGGGTTCAATTGCCCAAAGCCCCCGCTGAAAGATCAAGGCTATGCTCACACTTACGGAGCAGCCGTCCTCCTGTGGACTCACCACCTGCAGAGGATCAGTGAGGGGCTGGTGCTGTGTGACTTGGGTGGCATCTCTGACTGTCACCCCCCCCGACCAGGAAACGGATTAAGGGGTAGATAATGGATGGATGGATGGATGGATGCACACTTTTTCACACCTTGGAAGCCTGAGACAACCTTGCCTCACACAGTCAAACAATAATCTAACCCTCCAAATAACGTCCAACTCCTTTGCCTCTTGAGTTACATCCAGGTCATTGACAATCTTGAGTGAGCTTTTCAGCTCTGTAGAACCTACCCCTTGTTATTCTCCTGCTAATATCAGGCACTTCAGTTATTTTAGCCCAAAACATTGGATTGCCAAGACAGGCCATGTGCATTGAAATGCCAAAGAAAACCTTTATTTCTTGGGCAGTAGTATTAAGTGACGCTCCTATAGTTAGTAGCTGTGTTTGATTTGTAAAAGCTGCCAGATTCTCAAAGATATTGTCATTGATGCACTGAAAAGTACTTGATTGGACTCCAACGTTCACTTTCAAGGTCATCTTGATAGGCAGGAGGCTCAGGTACCACAGGTCTGAATCTGTTATGATACATAGAAATCAGACATAAATTCAAGTAAAGAAAGTAGTAACAGTAAAGTTTCTTCAAATTCAGTGATTTTCAGTAGTTCAGAGTGTACAGGCATATGTTTTTGCCTGGTATCCTCATGATGCGGGTTGGCATATTTATATCCAGAACAAATTCAGAGGGATAGGGTTAGGCTCTTCTCCTTCATCTTCCTCTCCCTCTTCATCATCACCTTCCCCTATCCTAGGCTAATTCTCCTCATCCTTTTCTTCATCTGAAAGCTCCAAATCTGATTCTCAATGATCTAGTAAAGGATTCTCTGTGCTTCACTCCTTGCTCCTACAACAATTTGCAGTCATTAAATACATTAAAATAGTCCTGGTGTCCACTACAGTGGACATACATTAAATGACTATTATTTCCAAACAGAAATAAGTAAACCGTTTTCAGATGTATACATGTTGTTATTTACATGTTAGTGGACAAAAATATATATAATTGTCATGGTAAAAATTGCAATACATAAAGAATATTTTACTTACCTCTCATCTTTTCATAAAATGTGGTTGTTGGTATGACAGCCATTGTGAAAGAGAAAAAAAGTATAGTTCCCAGCAGGCAAACCAATCACATGGCACATCACTGGAAAGCCCAGGATGTGCTTTCCAGTGATGTACAGAGTACTACTGAACTAGGGTAACTCAAAATACTCAAGGAAGATGCAGGTGAATAAAATGTCCACTCTAGAGGACATGAGTGAATGGGCCGGGTCTCAGGGGGTTAAGAGTAAGGAGTGAAAGTGAAAAGTTTCCAGAAGATAAGTAGTGATGTTGAGAATCATCTATGTTAAAACAAAAATCATCCCTTAGAATCATAGGTACTTTAGAAATATGGACAACGAAAGTCCAAGGTAAAACCAAACTCAAAAATCCAACACAGGAACCAGGAATACAGACAAACATACATGGACAAAGACACTGACAATGGACCAGCAACAGAGGGATAGGAGCACAGGTAGATATTGACCCCTTGCATGTGACGTCCCGGCCACCCCCACTCTCCATGACAGACGGCAGAAGTCTAACTGGAGCCTACGGACACCTGACCAAAACAAATTGTTTCAGCGCATTACAGCCAAAACTGTGACATTTTGCAGTGCGGTTGTTTATACCAACAGGCAAGGACATAAGCTTTTTTATCTGATACCTGCTCGTCATGAAGACAGAAGACGACGATGGCCAGCGGCAATCAACCAAAAGGACTGGGACCCATCCAAGTACTCCCTAATATGCAGTGAACACTTTTTACAAGATAAAGCAATCACAAGTTTGTATTTATTTTATTTTCATTAATTTGGAGAACAATGACACACGTCAAACGTGTCTCTTACTACTGTCCTGTATGTGCGCTGCAACATTGACATTTTTATCTTTTAAGTCAATTGCGTGTTTCACTATTTTCCTCTCCGTCAGTTCGTATCATGTTTGGCTGTAGACAGAAAAGCCACAGAAAAGTGGACTATTGCTAATGCTACCAGCAAAATGTACATATAAATCTGCTCCAGTGTGAGGGGATGCATTGGTAACGATAATGATAAAGATCATGTAGGGTGAATTCGGGCAAAAATAGACATTTTATTTAATCGATAAAATTGACTGGGGGGAGAAGGTACGGGTCAACATCCAGTTAGGCGATCCTTAACTTCTCCAAATACCACTCTTTGTGAGCCCAGACCTGATGTCCTACTTCCACCTATAACGTAATCCAACATGTGCTTGAAACAGCCACTTCTCGATTTAGGAGAGGAAGCTCAGTTTTTAAGAGTTGTAGTCTGTTTTGCTCTTGCAGCAATGCTAGTTTCCAATACTTCCGCCGTAAGCTCATTCACAATCACGTGATTGGATGACGTTGATGCATCTGGTCAATAGACACAGAGAGACACACAGGTGAAACACATTAGGGCGGGGAAGACAGGAAGTATACCTAAAACAAAACCATAGAGAACTAATGTAAAAAATAAAATCAATTAACAAATAGTTCACACCATGACTGTTAATTTAGAGCTGTGTTTTTGTTCATAAAATCCACAAACTTGTGCTTTATAAATTTAATTTTGTGTCCTTACATATAAGGACATCATATAATCAATCAATCATTTATTGTAATGCAATTAACTGAGAAAAAATGTGAGCAAGAACCATATTCTTGTCAGTAACATGTATTTGCAAGTTCAACCATTGGCAATACAGATTCAACTGGTAATGTTTATGGAAAATTGTATACAATTGGTGCAGTTACATTATTGAATTATTCACTCAAAAGCATACTAACTGTATAGTATTCAAATAGCAGTATACCTGTGATATAGATAACCATACTTGTGTGATTTTCCCCTAACATAAGCAACAAAATCTTCCAAATAATATTTTTCAATAGCACTGCATTGATGAATTAAAAGTGCAATTCTAAAATGAGCTAATGTCGTTTCACCTCTGCTCTGAGAAAACACTGAATAAAACACTGAAACACTAAATGGGCTTAATGAGTTAGAATTAATCCTTTTTTCTTTCAAAATATGGTCCACTTACTTTCACTCTGGAGTAAGGATAAATATATGCATTGAACATATATGTACTGTATAGTTGTTTCTATATATCGGCTTGGACAAATCTTTGACACATTGCTCATGAGAATAGAAAGCTTTATTTATAGTGCGCCGCAGGATACATCAGCATCATTCGTCATTGTGGTTTTGACATTTGGCTGCTCTCAGACGGCACTGTACTCGCACCTGTCGGCTGGACCGCCTCCAAAGCTGCGGAGGTCTTTCCATGATTGGCTTTTAAAAGGTGTTACACAAATCCTCGCCACAGCATTTCATCTGGATGTAGGCGTTCATCTTGAGCAGCTCGCAGTCCTTCAGAGCCATGCACTTCTGGTACTGACCATCTGTGACCAAAGAAAATAGATATATATTCATTTAGAGCAGTGACATTGTATCACCATGTCTTTCAAAGTCCTTAGGCTGAATGTTTCTTAAACCAAGTTGTATTTTCCGTTTGATTAAATTACATTTATTTTTGTACAGCCCTAAACAACATGCTTGTTTAGGGGTCTAGATTGTGAATGTGGATGAATGAGTGCGTGATCATAAATTTTTTATGTAGTCAACCACCCTCCTAGGAGGAAATAGTTTACGGATAGATGGATAGATAGGCAAATGTTTAGGGTCATCACTTTCCTTAAACTCCTGTATCGGCATGGAGAGTCCAAGGAGAAACAATCTGAGAAGTGAGAGAGGAATCCGCTCCCACAAACATAGAGGCTACAGATACAGGACTCAAGCTATTTAATGCTGAGATACCTAGCTTCTCTTTACAGCCACCAACAGTAATCATTTTGCAGAAGTAAAATGTTATGAACAAATTGGACCACATGTTGTGAATTCTATGAGGGGCATTCTATAAATAATGGTTGCTTTCTTTCTTCAAAGCAAATTTTAATTTATTGTGGTTTCAAAGTTACTTAAAGTCTTGGAGCTCTTTCTGTTTGCAGAATACACTGTTTGCATGGGTTCGAATGTGTTTTCAGCAGCAGAACTGGGGCGCTCACATGGAGGACGGGTGAACTTGGCGGTCGCACAGCCTTCCTTCTCTGGTTTGCACGTCTCAACAGTGAGCTCACAGTCCTCCCCTGGGCGTCTGGACACACATCGGTGACACTGCAGACTTTCTCCTGGACAGAGAGAGTATACAAACAAACAAATGAGGAGGGGTTTCAAGACACTTTCAAGTGGAGTTATGAATGTAATTTCATACATTTGCTTTTTCAAACTTAATGCACTGACATTGTGCTGATGGGTCTTTGATCTGTTTTGCTCATTATAAAGCTGACAATGACCCTCTCCATGTGTTGCAGCTCAGTGTGTTGCTGAGCTACAATTTGTTCAGTGGAGAATCAGTGACAGACTCACCGACTGCAAACAGCATGGCCACTGCCAGCACTAAAGCCAACAGCTTCATGTTCAATTCTGCAAAACACAAGTGGAAGAAGGAAAAATACACAATACTGTCAAGGGCCAATCAATCAAAAAGAAGAAAAGCAAATGGCAAATCATAATGCATTTTTTTCAATCATATTAAAAAGTTTCAGTTCAGTGAGGTGCTACCAAAACTGTTGTAATGCAACTTTCACACTGTCAATCAAAAATGGTCACTCTTTGTAAAGTATGAATTGCTTGGGTTTATGGCCAGCATAAAATGAAAAATCAGATCATTGCCCACTTTCATGCAGCTAAAACATGAGGGCTACAAGATGTAAGCCCCTTCCCTCGTAATTGTATTGGTTATGTTCTTGTTTTGTTTTTTGTAAATATAAAACTTTGCTAAGAAATAGGAACCAGTTGTTCATATCAGGTAAGCCCTCAGACCGGGCTCTGTGCCCCGTCTCTGTCAAGACTTTTTCTCCTTGTACCTGGTAACAAGTAAAAGAACTATGTCTGTTTGTTGTGTGAGATTTTGTCAGGTTCAACTGTAGTTGAAACAGCATTAACACTTTCCTATGAAGATAATACAAAACATTCCCTTACATTCTTTTTTCAAAGGCAAAGAATGAAAGAAGCAAATTCCTGGTTTGCGACTTATTACTTTCAATGGCAATAAAAATAATTCAAATTCTCATTCTAAAACTCAAAAGTTGTGTGCATGTGATGACTGCATTCAACAATAATGTCAAGCATCATAAAGCATATCACTATAAATACTGCAAATGGCCAATAAATGAATCTGAATCTGATCTAAATAAGTACATTCCTCAAGTACAAAACATAAGACCACTATACTACTACACTACTTCTGCTCTTATGCTTCTATTGCATAAACCTATCTCCCCCAAGTAAACTTACAAGTCTAGATTCAAAATACTTTTTCAGAACATTGTGCACGTACCAGATAGAGTGTTCCTTCTACGCTGCTCCCAATAACCCTCTCCCATTTAAATACACTTTGCTCCCATACGGGTACTGTCACTCTAAGGGGAGTTTCTCGGTTAAGTCAACACACCCAGCCCACAGTCATAGGTCACTGTCACCATAAAGTCCTACATTATGCAACGAGTGTCCACCCTTGGTCTACTGCTATATAATGAATGAGACCCCTGTGCTTAATCTTTTAGCAATTCTGGTTAAATACACACATACATATTCCTCCCACACATCCTCCTCCTCCTGTGGACTCACCACCTGCAGGAGGATCAGTTTGGGGCTGGTGCTATGTGTACTGGGTGGCATCTGTGGCCACCCCCCTGACCCAGAAATGGATTAAGGGGAAGAAAATGGATGGATGGATGGATGGGTTAAATACACCCTGGGATTTCCAGCGTTAAAAAGCCAAGACATAGTCAAAGGTGTGGAGATTATGATGGGTAATTGGTCATAATAAGGTGAATAATGTATGCATTGGAAACTTAGACTGTATATTGATTGACAATGTTAACCCGCAAAGTTTTTCTTCAACTCGCTCTGGCTTTTAGCCATATAAGGATTCACCAATTAGATGCCTCCTTTTTGTGGGGGAAACTCCAGCTTGTCTTAATAACCATCTTAGCCCACGTCTGCCCCAGTTACGACGTAAAAGGTATTGCAGAGAGAACAAATGCCCACTATGGGAGACGGTTACAATTGATTAGTCCACTCCTAATATATTATAATTATATATAATATCATTATATGTTAATAGGCGAATAAATAAGTTTAACAGTTGGAATATACTGAATCTGACTGAAGTAAATGGTTTGGATTCTTATTCAGTAAACACAGCTCAGATCTATAATTTCATTCATTCTGACTTCATTCAGACACTTCTTGAAGTACAAGCCACCCTCAGAACTGTCCAATATGAGTGGCGCTTTGTTGATTCTGGCAGAAAATTACTTTGTTACCATACAGCTCCCCGTATACAGTCAGCAACCGATAAAACACATATAATGGAAAAATACAGTCATATAATTTATTCATTTTCCTGCAATATCCAATGTTGTCTTGTCAAAAAGGAACCTAAAGCCTCAATTCCACTGCATAAAAGTTGAGTTTTTGGACTTTTAACCAAAACTCGCCTCTGCTTTACACATTGATCGACACAGGCTCCCGTGTCCAAACCGGCCAGTATCCAACCCGCCTTGTGACATAGTAATTTTTTCTGAGGTATGTTTAAGAAAAAGTTATGTATTATAGAGCAATAAAACCACATTGTTGTATAGCCTGTTGCTTACATGTGGGTCAGGTGACGGAAATTATAAAACTTTACACAAGTCACCTCAATGGCCACAGTGGTTCAGTTGGTAGAGCATTGGCCTTCGAGACCAAAGGTCGTGGGTTTGAGCCCACCACGAGATCTTCTCCACCTACTCCCACTTATGTCTGCTGCCGTTGTGTCCTTGGGAAAGACTCTTAACCCACTTTGCAACCCACTTTGTGATGTTTGCAGCTTGCCTTGATGTGTATATGTTTATGTATGTGTATATGTATATGTGTACGTGTATGCATCAAACTGAAACTTCCCCATTGTGGGACAAATAAAGCACCCTCTTCTTCTAATTTGCAAATGGACAGATGTGAAGCTCTAACGATGTGCTGCTTTTTCCCTGATCCCTCTGCAGGTGGTGAGCCTTGATCTTTCAGCAGGGGCTTCAGGCAAAGTGTCTTGCCCAAGGGCACAACGACGGCAGACATCGTTGGGAGTCATGAAGTAGGTCTTATGGTGGGCACAAACTTATGACAAAAAGGCCAATGCTCTACCAGCTGAGCCACTGTCGCTCCAGTGCTCTACTTTAATTGTATCATTAATTCTTTATGTTGTATTTCAATTATTGTGTAGACGTTTGGAGAAACTGTTATAAATCTTCTTTAATTACCCCACTGAAAAGCCCTTAAGGAGGGTATCAAATGTCCACTCTAGACGTCTTCAGGACCCACTGCAGGATGTGGTTAACATTAAAGCTAAGTAGTGTTCAGGAATTCTGAAAACTCTCTGCCACCTAAGATACAAACATCTCTATCATGGAATAGCCATGATAGAGATGCTCATCCTAATTATCAACAACAACAAAAAGTGTATGTGTGCCTCAGTGCGTGGAGCTATTGTTTGAAATGATTCATCAGATGACTTAAAAACATGCCCAAACCTGATTAGATTAAAAAAAAAGTGTTTTAAAAAGAAAAATATTGAAGTAAAAGAGTCTTAATCACAGAGCACTTACTAGGAGAGAGGTGTAGGGTTGGAGAGTGTTTGGGCCTTTGTGTTGTCAGAGTGTATGTGTGTTTGTTTTGAAATGGCTGTCTCATCTGTAGTATCAAGTACTGTATTACTGTTTGTACTGTACAGTTGTGTGTTATGGAATTCTACTGCATGATATTATTATTGTATTGTATTGTGTGGCATGGGTATTCCCCCAGGTAAAAAGCCAACACATTTCAACATGTGTCAAAAATTGTGTCAAACAATTAATTTAGTTTGCGTGAATTGTGTAAATGCATAGGTTTCAGATTGAATATATCTTGTTATTATAATATCACATTTTATTCATAATTCAGAAAGGTGTTTGGTTAAAATGCTAAAATGTATTATGTGCAAGACATCCTCATACACCACAGACTGCTTTTGTCCATGCACTGAAATGTGAACTTAATGTAAGCTTTATTGATTAAAATGTCAAAACTGTTTGCTGCTTGCTCCATGCAAATTGTGCAAAGGCGTACGATTGAAGTGACTAATTACCATGTTGGCAAGGGATTGGACACAAAAAGGCGAAGTGTGTTTGCCTATAATTAATCAAATTTAGTGAGAATAATCAGGATGTTAACACAACTGAGAACAAAGCTTAAACGTGACCTCCGTCCCATTTTCTTTGTTGACATCCTGCAATGGTTGGAATAAATCATATACTGACTCAAGCCTACACACAAAACACAGCCTGGGCTTATTATGGGATCATTTTTAACCCCAATGATCATTTTTTTCAATATAAGAACGAGCACGGTGGCTGAGTGGCTAGCATTCTCGCTTCTCAGCAAGATGGTTCTGGGTTCTTTATAAATCCAGATTTTTAAACTGAGCTCTAAGAATAATCAATAACACTTCTGGCCACCGTGGAAAAGCCATGTTGACATGCTGACAATACAATCCTTCAGTTTTATGTACAGTACAGCTAAACAAGACAGTTTTAAATCTGGATTTGTCTGAGTAGAAGTCTGTTTCAAAAACCTAATTTTAGTTTAGTCCTGACTCTCGGTGTCAGCAGGAGGCCAGTCTCACAGCCTTGGTTCATTGGTTCTCTGACACACAGGAGGCGAGAGTAGAGACCTGAGAACTGGTCTGATGTGGTTGTACTTCCTGGTTTTAGTCAGGAATCAAGCTGCAGCGTTTGGAATATAGTGCTGTTTTACAGCTCATTTGGAGACCTAGTGAGCAGGTTGTTACAGTAATCTAACCTACTGGAGACAAATGTAGGATAAGAATCTCCAAGTCTGCTTTGGACACTATATTTTTGATTTTCCAATGTTTTTAGATCGTAAAAAGCTGCTCATGGGACTGATTTGATGTGACTATTAAAACCCATAAAAATATTTAAATAAAGCAGTTTTTATGTCTAATTGATGCATACTGTGAATGCTACAATATTTTCCATCCTGTTTTTTTTTTTACAAAGAATATAGAGATGTTTGCAAATGACAACATTCTTTGCTGATGAGCACATGGATAACTATACTTACATAATTTATTCATATATGCAAGTCTACCTTAAATAACCCCCATGGAAAAAAGTTGAACCATCCTTTTAAATCTGCTGGCTTGCTTAAAACGCCTATACTTCACACGAGCAGACAGAAAATCATTAACCAACCGAAAATAGATATGCAAGTTTCCCACAAGAATCATTGGACTAGCAGTTAATGCATATAAATCTATGTATTCCAGGATGAGTTTGACTTTCCAGATATGACTTGTATAGGAGCAGTTTTCATGTTAGGGGTTTGAGGAAGTGGAAAGTAAATTGTAGAAGTCAAGCTGGCTTTACAGGGGGTGTTAAAAAGATGTATCAGTGAATGAAATTATGCTCAAGGGAATGTAAGGTAAGGTGAGCCGTATTCAAGTTTTCTGGCCCAATTGTATGTGCATTCAGATTTGGGTGCTGTCTACAAAGTGTGTAATATTTAGAACACATGCTAAAATCTTTGATCTATAGCTGGTTTGAATGTATTGGAAAACAGTAGGATTTCCTATGAGAAGCCATTTAAACATTTTCCAAAGAACAGTGTTCAGGGTTCTAAACAGACTCTGCATAAATCCACCAGAGAGAAGGCCTACAAGGAAGCAGCTCAGCACCAGCAGAAGAGCTCCAGACTCCACCAGTGTGAAGAAGCCTCATTGTAGGCCCCTGGGTTCTGAGGGGGATCCACCACTAACAGAAGTCTGCCACTGCACTTCCAGGGTCTGGATCTCTTCAGCGAGATCAGGACCCATGACCGACCGATCCACCTCTCTCTGTCTTTTAAGTCTTCATTACCCTGTTGTACACACAGTCTGGACTATTTAATATCGCAACTGATGAATTATTTTAAGTTGGGGTATAACCCAACTGATTTGAAAATATTGTTTGTTGTCAATTTAACTGGAAATCTAAATATTTTCAACTACAAATATGTGTTATATTCCCTACCAAGTTACTCAAAATGGGTTATTAAAACAGCAGATATTTTTCAATAAAATACATGTAAGGATCTTCTCAGGGAGACCAGGACAAGCCTTCCAGAGTACCACCTCTCCCTGGTCTGTCTGTTTGAGGACACCTGTGCCCTATGATGTTAAGAGGGCTACCATCCAGCCCATGGAGACCCAGCTGGCTCCACGCGCTCACAGAGTTTTCAGCTGATGAACATTGTTTTAATAACGGCTTATCCCTGAGATATGTATGTTTAGATTAAACAATATATGTGTTATTGTTTATGATATTATGTAAATGTAACTTTATGTCGCCATCAGCTACTGATAGTCTCTTAATTTTCTCCCTTGTGGGGTAAATTATGTATGCGTCAAATAATTATGATTATTTTAATTTGTGTCTTTAACCGGAGTTAAGTTCTGTGTGGAGTGTCTATGTTTTGTCAGTTTATTCAATTCAATTCAATAAAAATTATTTGTGCATAGCCCTTTGTCAAAACAGTAGTTGTCTCGGAGGACTTGTCAATTGACCAACAACATATCTGAGAATCAAAGAGTATAATTCCAAGATGACAAACAAACATGAGCCATTTGTCCATAAGGAGTGGAATGACGGATGTAAATAAATATCCTCAAATATTACTCCATGTCCCCCAATCACCCAGAAGACTGTTACTACAGTATTACTAGTATATATGCAAAATGTGCACGAAATCTACTGCCATTACCAATTAAAAGTGCAGACAAAAAATCTTCCACCTCTAGAAGTCCTGAGCAAGTCAAGTATTGACTTCTGGAGATGGGTTCCCGGGGGCTGTACTACGGCGACCACTGCTCCTGACGTAAGCCTTAGTGGCATCAGGATGGGTCAAATGCAGAGGACAAATTTCCCTACGGGGACAAAAAAAGTGCACATTCACATTCAGACCAGAATATATATGAATAACATGTGTGAAAATGTGAAAATAATCTAAAAATAATCTGCCCTAAAGTACAGTTTTCACATGCATTAGTTACCTCTAAAATAAATGTATTCAAAAATAACCTGATCATTACCAAATCAAGTCTGAACAACGCCCATGTACAGTGTGTGTGCAGATTTTCTTCTGTGTCTGAACTCTCTGAACTTTCTGAACTTCCTGAACTTATGTTTATATTATCGTTTGAACAATGTGGCTGCACCTACTGCCATCATGACACAAACTGATGAAGCACCAGTACTCCTAACCTGACCAAACAGGATTATTCCAAAGGGTATTTGTTCCAATTCAGGTTCAGCCATCATGTGAATTTATTTGCAGTCAATTGAACAGTTGCTAATTAAAGTATTAATAATAACACATGCATTTCATACAGCGCTTCTTTGAACACTTCACATTATTTGTTCACTCCATACACAGTGGTGATAAACTACTACTGTAGCCACAGCTGCCCTGGGTAGACTCACAGAAGCAAGGCAATCAATATGTGCCATTGGCCCCTCCGACCACCTCCACTCGGAACGGTGGCGAGTGGACAGCACTTTTGCTCTCGAGTTCACAGACACCAGACTGCTGCTAAGTGATGTAAGTACTATGCCACAGACTGTGGCATAGTACTAACATGGCCCTGCCCTGGCTCAAGAGTTTTGACAAGATCTAGCTTTAAGGGTCCCCTCATTCATTAGCAAATTGCCATGTTTGAATGACCAATAACTTTAAGTAACACAAGTTATATCAGGTTCAAACACTGGTAAATTATAGTTAATGTTTAGGGCTGTTCAACATCTCAAGAGTGTCTGTCTGAGGCCAACGGAGAACAATGGTAGCAAAGAGATAGAAACAGAGATAGATAGATATATTTGATCCCTGTAGGAGAAATTCAGGTGTCCAGTAGCAGCAGAACAAATAAGTAGATCATTTTAAAAATGCAATGGTAATTTTTTTGGACCTGATGGTCGTGGGATCAATCCCACAATGACCCATGTCATCTGGAGTGATGGAGTGGAGTAGAACGGGTCACAGTAGCAAAGGTGGAGTAGCCTCTTGGTTCAAACCATTTTCTCTGCTCTAGTACAAAGTGAGATGATTAGCACTTTTTCACAAAGTTAGCATTCCTCCTGTGAATTTAGTAAACAATAGTTATAATTACAGCAGGTAAAGTGACCAACAAATTACAGATTTTTCAGATGAATGGAATATGTACTAATGTAGCAACAATAATAACACCAAGAAAAGTGACTAGTTACTAGTAAAGTGACAAGAGAATTATCAGAACAGGTGAGTGGCACGTGTATAGACTCAGCAGTTCTCATTGTACAGTCTGACAGCACAGGAAGGGAAGGAAACTCCCCCACACACACACATATTCAGTATAAAATTATTGTTAAGCCAGTTAATACATTCAAAGACTAATGTTAGACTTTAAATGCATTGATCTTGTTTTAAAACACATGTTCACAGTAAAAGTGTATGGCTCACTTTAAAAAAAAAAATCTTCCAGACCTCTGCTCTGAAGAATTACGGGTATACTCTATGTATTTGCTTTTTATACTTTGTTTCTTTATCAAGATAAAGATAGAGATGTAATGTTGTACTGTAATATATTCTCTCATATGTGCTTCTTATTCCTACTGTTCTGTAACTGGTGATGCAACACTGACATTTCCCCACTGTGGGACAAATAAAGGATATCTTCATCTTAACAACATGCCCAAGAAAATAATCTCAACCACACAGCTACTTTTGAAAGAGTGAATTTTACTCACAGAATTATTTTACACAAAAGTCTTAGTCATCATATTTCCCTGGATGTGAACATAAGATTGCAGCTCATACATTTTGGGTCAGGTCTCTTTTTGCACTTTGAAGCTGCACATCTTCTCACATGGTGCTGTTTGTCTGGGTGTGTGATATGAACTGTAGACTGTGCAAATTGTTTTGGTCACGACACATTATAATGACAGATGACATGCTGCACAAGACCAAAATATTCAAACATTCATGTTGCATTTACATTTGAATGGTTTTATCATCCATTCGGATGGTCTCTATGACTTTATTTATCTACTTTTACCATCAAGCTGCATCTCAAACATTTTGGAAAGGCCTACAATGAAAAAGGGGTAAAGGTGTATCTTGGTGGTCTTACATTTTAGAAAATCTAAAAGATAAACATTTACATTGCTGCCTGTAAGGAGTGGAAATTAATGGGGGAATGAAGGTTAAACAGGGATTGTTTCACAAAATATAAATGAAGGTTGAGTTGGACCAGGTCAGTTTTGGAGCTGGAGAAGGTGAGTAACAGCAGGTGTAAACCAGTAAAACTCTTTTTGATCGGAGACCGGAATCCTTTTGGCCCCCCAGGGAGGGGGGCCGAAGTGACAAAAGGATTACTTTAGTTTAACCTAAGTTTTGGAAATTATTTGTTGGTAGATTTCTCTAAATAAATCTAGTTCAAGTATCGTTTGTTTGGACTGAACCAAAACTGGGTCAAAGTTACAGGATTGGTAAATAAATGATTCATATTGATTATAAATTTTGAATTATGAGTTTTCTTGTATGGTTGTAAAATAGCTTCAAAATTATGTAAAAACACCATGGTGTTTGTACATAATTATTGCTCATATTATTTAATGAGTTAATAATAATAATGGAAATAATTTTAGTGGCCACTAAAAATGGCCACATTGGGCCCATGGGCCATGTGTTATCTGTTATCTAGAAGCAAGCAGAAAAAACATAAATAAGGCGAGGAATTCCACAGGAGCACTATAATAGTAAGTAGTAGTAGGCCTGAGGAGTGTTGTCTCACTATGGTTCTGACAATGCCCCGGGTTAAGTACCGCGCTGATGAGTGATGAGATGCATGTGTGCCGGCCAATCATGAACAGCCGCGCCCACAGCAGCAGCAGCAGCAGCAACAGGAGGGAGGGGGTAAGGAGGTCACAGGGATATCAGTACCTCACCACATTGACTCATGGTTCAATAAAAAGGAAGCTAAAAAGACAGACAATGAATGAAAAGTTAAAGGTACCCTAGAGTTTAACATGGGCAAAAGAACACACCAGAACTCTAAAATATCAATAACTATTTTCTGTCTTGAAGAATAGGGTTAGGTAAAGTGTCAAACTTCAGCCTAAACATCAACAAAATCAATAACTGAATAAATACAATGAAGTAATAATCTATCATGTGTTTCCAGACCACATGTTTGGAAGCACTGCACTAATTAAATATGTTTGCAAGTTTTAAGCAGAAGACTATTTTGTCTTACATTTTATTCCCCCACACTACTACATCTGATACTGGTCTCCCACTGTTTGTTTTCCCGCAAGCTCAAACTCTGATATCAGCAGTGGCATAGGGAATGTGGGGGGAATCTGTCCATGTGGCGAAATGGCTAAACCCTTCATTGTGCTGCTTTTGTCCCCTCTGCCCAGCGACGCCATGAGCACCACAGAGCACCGTATAAATCTGCCTGTCCAAATATCTCCACTCCCAAAGGCCGGTGGGTAAACAACAGTTTGAAGGAGGAACCAGGAGTAGAGGAAAATGTCTCGCTATTCTGGGAAGGTGAGTTCTGGGATTTGATCAAGCAAGACACAGACAAAAGTTGTTTAATCGATTGGTATGATTCATATTGGTAATGAGAATACTCAAATGTATGTTTGGATCTATTTAAAGGTCATATAATCATTCAGGATCTAATTGTTATAACATGGCGTGTGAATTCTGCAATATATCCCTAATTAACATTGTAGTTATTTTAATTCATTTAACTATAAAAATGTATATTCAAAATAAATGCATGTCAAGCGATGCTCAGTGTTGAGCAACTGTTGTTAATAGAAAATTAAAGAAGCATTATACGAAAATCTGGCCAAATGTGGTACTGCAACCTCTCCCATTCTCCCTGACTCAGGTTGCTAGATGTGCAGACAAATCCAGCTGGGTTAGGGTTAGCTGGGTTATCTGAATAGTCAAGAGTTTTGTCAACAACAAATCTATAACAAACACCTTTTTCACAAAGGCCCTGATAAAAATCCTTGTTTTATTTTTTGTTTTGTCATTAATGATTTGAGAATCATAACAAGACCGCATGATACTTTACAAGTGAGATTAGCTCGAACCGGTGACTTCTATTAACCTGGATCACAGACTTTCTGATTGGTGAAACGTTGGGGGGCGGGACATCGAAATGAAAACAGTAACAAGATTTAGGGGCTGTAAAACTAATTTGGGAATTCAAATATCTTGGCTGAACTACTGTTATCAGTTAAAGAAGTATTCGAAAAGACCATGGTTTAAGACTTGACATAAAACTCTTTGATATTGCTACTTTAAAGCTACTTAAGCTTAAAGACATAACCCTTGCCTATATGTGTGTCTGTAGGGGGCCATGAGTTTCAACAATGTTTATCAGAGACTTGCCACTACTGCTGCTATTAGTTTGCATTAGATTTTTAGGGGGAGTGACTCTACTCTGAGCTCCTCATCCTATCATACTATTGTTGAGCCGTTCTGCAGCCATAAATAATCCGCTTGTAGCCCATCTATTAAATGACGTTTCACCTCTTCAGTCAATATGCACTAAATAAATAATACTATAACATAGAGAAATTCGATAAAAGTTGTCTGTCAACCTTGGAGTTAAAAGGAATTGCTGTTGAAGGGAATTTTATAACTTTGTGTTTGCGGAAAGTGCTGGGATGTTTCGCAGCCTTCTGATGTCTGAAGCAATTACGTGGCAATGCACATACTTCAAGGTCAAGGTTGTTCTTGTGCTCATAAAGTTTGGTGTTGGTGGAAAAGACTGTCGCTCTGGATCTGTCCAGTAGTGTGCCATGTGGCTGTAAAAACCTCTCACCAAACAAACTATACACTCTTCAAACCACCTGAACTCACATGCTGAAGTGCAATGGTGCGAGAAGTGCTGCTGCAACTATCAAAAGCCGTGCATCCACTGTCAAATGATCGCACTAATCACCGCGGTGCTAACAGGCTACAACAAAGCTCTGAATAGGATAGCGGTTTGAACATGAGGTCACTTTTGCTATAGTGAAAGTAATGTGTCATTCAGACAAAGTTGTTATTAAAATCTTGAGATACAGTATGTTTTATGTGCTTTTCCAGATCGTCTTCTACGAGGGAAAATGCTTCACAGGCCGGAAGCTGGAGCTATGTAGTGACTGTGAGAACTTCCAAGACCGCGGCTTCCTGAACAGGGTAAACTCAATTCGCGTGGAGAGCGGCGCCTTCGTCTGCTATGACCATCCGGACTACAGGGGGCAGCAGTACATCCTGGAGCACGGAGAGTACCCCGAATATCAGCGATGGAACGCCCTTAACGACCACATGGGCTCCTGCCGGTCAATCAGAATGGTGCGTCTTTTTAAGCCATGTTACAACATTGTTCTCTCTTGTTTTTAGGTCCATCCACATTTATATCAGGAACCATTGGCATGAACATGTAACTCTGCCCCTTCTAGATAATTGACTGCAAATAGATCAGGGGTGTCAAACTCAATTTACCTGACCGGGGGAGTTGGGGGAGAACTCCAACTTACTTTAACAACCATGTCAGCAACACATTAGTTTAAAGCTGTCCCTGTTAGAGCCTGTTAGAGCTCTTATAAGGACATTAGCTCCACGTTATGTTCAAATATGTCTATGGTCTAATATCTTCTGTCTCAATCTCAGATAGATAGCACTTCCTGTTGAGTGGGAACACCATTCATTCCCCTTGAGAAACATACAAAGCTCCCATTGCTAAAATCTAATATTGAATTGTTTGTTTTGTGCTAAAATGTCACTATTCGTGTGCACAAGCGCAGGGCTTGACTGAGCAGCTTTGGCCTCTGAGCAGAGCTTGTTTGCTGTGACTCCAAGAATGTTCATTTTGTCTTAGTGCTTACTGTGAGCTTGGAAGCGAGTATGCAAACTACTATGACACAGATCAATATAGCGGCATCAACATACAGAATCAGCTTTTTTCATAGTATCATGTACAGCTCAAATATATACTAGACTAGTTATAATCATTGCCAACAACATGTTAATAGCTTGCGTTCATGTTCTTGAATTCAGTTGGAGGGCATGTGCCAATCCAACTTTATGGGAAAGAAGCATTCTTTGAAAGAAAAGGGAATTCCCAATTGTTTTCCGAGATCATCATTTGATAGTGTTTAGATTCACAAACCCACTTTGTTATTCTCCATGTCTGATAGCCCTAACTTGACATCGGTTGACATCACTTCTAAAAACCTTTATGAGAAAATATTTGTTTTTTGTTTCATGTGCAATGACCAGGAATTACGATTCGCCAACAACAGATCAGAGAATTATAATAACAAACATATATGAGCCATTGGTCCATAGGTAACAGAGCGACCAATGTCCATAAATATTTTTAGATGTACTTAAATGTCTGAATATTGACAGAGACCATAGTTACCAGGAGAGATTGTTTTTCCCATGTGCGTTGTTGGACTTGTTTTGTCCCACTGAGAATATTTATTGTAAAAGCAGCTCTTGCATTATCCTTACTTACTTCTCCTTTTATTTTATTATGCGGCATTTCATTTTCTGAGAAGCACGAGATGCTCTGCTTGCATGTAGCTTATCACATTTACCTTGTTCTGTTTCCCCAAATCAGCAACTATACTCATGTGAAAAAAGCAGTCTGTAGAACAGGACATTGGATTATTTGTTTGTTTTGTGTCACAATAGCTGTAGAATGGTGAAATGTAATCTAACTTTCCAACACTATCTCATCCATGTAATATAGGTGTATTTTCCTGTCTCAACACAATGCAATGCCCCTGTGAATGAACTCGTGACTCAACTATAACTACATACATTTCCAACTGTTCGTGCGGTGGTGTACCACTATAGACGGCTTTGTATACCAGTTTTCTCATTCTCAGTATTGGCATTGATGTGAAAGCCATGGAATGAGTCTTTTTCGCAGAGCTGCAGAGGTCAGTTGTATCGACTTGTAACTTGAAATCTGTCCTTTACTGTGAAACAAATAATGCTTATATGATCTTAAAGCTGGGGTTTTATCTATTATCTCATAATTCACATTTTGTTTGGTCCAACAGAAAGAAACAACAACAATTCAGGAAATAGAATAATGATCCACACATGTGAGCCGTTGGTTCATACGGGAGGGTTGACCATAAGTGTTAATAAATGTCAATAAATGACTCAGATCATCACTATCCTTACACCTTCCTCTATTGATGAGGGAAAAAGGTTAGGTAAAAACATGTAAAACCCAGAGGAGGCCCATTTTGAGGGACACTCAGGGACAGTCAGGCTGTAGATCCAGGACTCAGGCAGTAGATCCCAAAGCTAAGGGTGTAAATTCAGGACTAAGGCTATAGAGTCAGGACTGAGGCTGTTAAACCAAGACTGAGGCTGTTGATTCAGAACTCAAGCTGTAGATGCAAGATTGACACATGTGTCCCTTGTTTAAAACTATCACTTTTTTTACCCAGCACGGCGAGCACTACCGCCTGGAGCTGTTCGAAGGGGAGAACTTTGGCGGTGAACACATTGAATTGTGCGAGGACTGTCCCTTTCTCCAAGCACGAGGCCTGACCAAGAACTGCGTCAACTCCGTGAAAGTCTACGGAGACGGAGCGTATGTATCACTATGGGAACCAGCCTTGTTAAAGCAATCAAAGCTGGAGCACGGCGGAGAGAGGCAAAGAGAGCGCGATATTGTTGCACCGCCATTTAAGAGCCTTCACTGATTAACTCTTAACGGTGGAGGTTATAATCCGCAATATGGATTGAGCACATTTTAAATCGTGCTTTCAAATGTGTGGTATGTCAAATAGCTGTATAGCCTGCTTACCTATAGGCTTTTGATGACATAATTGATTTTATGATATTATAAGAAAACACTTTCACTCTCCATCTCTCCATCCATCCATCCATCCACTTATCTTTCAAACTATTTCTTATTCTATTATAAAGTAGTTCTGGTAAGTGTAAAAAAGGTACTTATTGGACATATTCAAACAAGCATCAACACAATATAAACCAGTATTCCAGTTTTAATGGAGGCGTAGGAGCAGACAAGTAGGTGCTTGTTTTTATAGTAACAGTATGAATATTAACAGAAATACTACAATCTTGGTCTAAAAAGATAAGGTCAAATGATGCGCACTTCAGATCCTGCAACAATGTAACTTCACAGTCTGGAAAACTATGATTAATCTTTTCTCTGTATTTCATTTAAATTAACAAATTGAGTTAAATGCGGCACTAATTGCAATCAGTCGAGAATATGTCTGTGGCCTCGATCGCTCCCTGATTAACTCTGATTGTGTGTGACAAAGTGAGGGGCGAATTAATAATGGACTGATTATTGAGAAAGGCTATTGAAAATCTAATATTTGTGAAGGAATGTAGGCTTAAGTTACTGGTGAGGTCCACAAATGTTCCTGTCTCCAAAGAGATGTGAGTGCATGTTAGGAATGTTCCTCTTAAATGTTGCGCTGAAAAAGAGCATTGTGTCTTTCTAATAGGCAAATCAATAACTTTTGTATACAGCTACAATGGTGGAGGGCAAGTCTCACTTAGAGGTAGCTCAGACTAAAAGATTTGGTCATGATCACGAGGTTCAAAAAATATGCCGCATATACCTCACCCCACAGCACTCACACATACACACACACACAAACACACACACACACACACACACACCCTTATAGTCTCAATTTAACATCTAATAATCTCAATTTGTTTATAGTGTAAGTTTCACCTTGGTCCAGTTGTGGGCGTTTGTCTGTTATTGTTATTATTATTATTATTATTACTATCACAGAATAGTCTATTTGCCACCAAAAGATCAGAGAATCAAATAGAAGACATTATAAATACGACAAAAGATGCCTACAATATTACATGTCCATAGATGTCAATAAATGTTTGAGACCATCCCCAGTCTTGTGCAACGGCGAATAATAAAAAAGGTGCAGGGAGACGCACAGGGAGAGAGGAATCCGATTCAATTGATGGACAGACTATATATGTATAGATCCAGGACTAAGCTCAAGTCGGCTAGAATCATATTCACTTAGGATCATCGAGAGCAGGAATTCAGAGGGAACCAAGTCCTCTACTGTATCCAGCTGAAAATACAAACCTGCTACCTCTGGACCAGTGGGGGCGGATCCCGGCTCAAAAATGGCCAAAATGACGTGCGCTGACATGCTTGCAATACCACCCCGGGCCGATGGGGGTGGACCCGGAATAAGAATTATTCTATGCTAACGTATAACATTAGCTGACCTCTCGAAAACGTCTTTACAGGATGATCCAAAAGTCGGCTCCTGGCCCAAAGCTCCGTTCCACATGTGTGTCAGCGCTTAGGGGTGAGATTTTTTTTGGACCGTCTAGTTTAGTCGCTGTAGAAATTTTAAAGGCACTGACGCTTGCGCAGATGCGTTTTTTTCACATTTTCCAGCCCCCGCGGCCATTTTGAAACGGCCCATAGACCGCGGAAGTGGTGGCACATTAGTTTCAACGACGGAGATAGGCGTCAATGCTCTGGAAAAAATGTTCCCCGTTAATTTTTACATCGTTCCATCTTGTTACATCTAGTTCCTTGCTCAAATGATTTAGTTGAGCTGTATGAAAGAAGACAAAAGAATGCACAAAAAAGATTACAGAAAAAATACACAATATTGAACAAACTCCTCTCACTCACTCACAATACAGCACATACACACTCACATAGCGGACACAGGCCCAAACACTCTGACTCTACACCGCTCTCCCATCAACCGCCAGGCCCGGACTGGCCATCGGGAGCATCGGGAGATCTCCCGGTGGCCTGCGTGTCAAAGTGGCCTGGGCCTGCCCTATCATCACGGTCTTTTTTTTGTTTTTTTTTTTTTTTTAATTTAATTTCATCCTCACGGTCTTTGCAAACTCCTACCCTGCCTGGTGGCCTGGTCCAATGAGCAAGGCCCAGGCCAAAGCCAGTGTTGTGCGTGAACGAGTTCAAAAGAACGCGTTCATTGAACACGCTCATTTTTTCGTGAACGTTGAACTGAACGCAACACATTTTTTAATAAAGAACTTGAACGTGAAAGTTCATATTATGTGTCATGAACGGCAGACAATTTGTTTTCCATTTAAAACTGAGTGAAATCTGTTTTCTCTTTTGAAACGCAACAAGAGAAAGTTCCTCCCTCCTGTATTCTCCGCACTGTTTCCGCTGAAAACTAAAAATTCCTACGGTTTCCACCGTCTGTGAACGCACCCCGACTCAGTGTACTTGCGGTGCGGCGCTATATGCTAGTGCTATTCATTGGTTGTTGGACTCACATGTGCCGTGATGAAAACACAGGGGTAAGTCAGTGACACAGGGCCGTTTACATTTGACATAAAGTATAGACACACGTTCTGCAGCGCATTACAGTTTGTACTTATGAGCAGAGATGGGACAACTCAGTTCCCATTGAAACCCATGTAAATCTTGTCTGCATTGGAGTCAAAACATCCTGTGCAGTGTACAGGATATAATATATAATTATATATTATATATATATATATATCACGTATTGTGATTTCTAGCTCGTAGTGAAAAAAAATATTTATTTGAATATCTCGCAAAAAGTAAAATGAACTGAACTTTGAACTAGTTCAGAATTAAAATTGAGAACTTCGAACGTGAACTGTTCACTTTGAGCATGTATGAACTGAACTTGAACTAGTTCAGAAAAGCTGTGAACTGGCACAACACTGGCCAAAGCTTTACTGTCATTGGGCCAGAGCAAAATTAAACAAATGTGACGTCACACGTCGGCTACACAGCCAGGCCAGCCTAGCAGTGCACCCAGTGTAGCTTCCCCGGTTGAAATGAGTGGTCTCTCCAACTGATGGTTCATACACGTTTTTATTTTTCCTTTTATATGAGCTGTAACGATGTGATTTTACCTTACTACTTTTTTAACAATAATTGATTAGCTTGTTATAGTTATACACTAATGAACACTTAGTTCATTGTGTGTGTGTGTGTGTGTGTGTCTTTATTCTCACTAAACTCCATAAACGTTACGTTGCTAAGCAACGTACAACAATCCTTAAACGTCCGAGATTATATAAACAGTAAATATAAAAAAAAATAAAGAAAACAAAAGTTTTGACAGTCAATCTTAAAACTATTAAAAGAACATCAAAATACAATGACAAAAACCCAAATTTAGAACCTTGTTTGGCCTGAATGGATGAAAAGCTCCCGGCCTGAAATGTTGTCCCACTCCGGCCCTGTCAACCGCTCTATGCTGAGGCCATCCCTCTCGTTCCTCCACGCACTTTTATGATAGAACAGAATCATATTTGAACATGTTTATAATCCACCTGGTAAGTAACAATTGTTAACTATAGTTATAAATTCAAGCATATATATTTATTTTTTCTTCTTCCTCTTCCAGTTGGGTTTTGTACGAAGAGGCAAACTACCGCGGGCGCATGTACGTGGTGGAGCGGGGGAACTTCAGCTCTCCAAAGGAATGGCACTGCGAAACCCCGACCATCAAGTCCGTGCGCAGAGTGGCCAACTACTTCTAACTCCATCACTGGCTTCCTGAGTGATTGATGACTCCAATCCTCCAACACTCTGTGGGCTTGTAAAGAAAATAAACGCTCCACAAATTGTTCTTCGTAGTTTTATTTTTGTACTGAATTATTGAAAGGATCGACAATAAAAAAGCGATCCTTCAATATCTTTTTTTTTCTTTCCTTTATTGCTTCGGGCTCTAAAGTGTACGTGACAGTAGAAATGATTGCATGCTGATGATGGAAGTAATTGCTTTCTATTGCCAATGCTTATTATCCCAAGTGTAAGTGCAAAACTGATGGTGGATCCTAATGGGGCCGTTACCAAGAGAAGTAAGAATGCAAAACGGAAATTGATCTGCGGATGTTTATTAATCTCAGAGGAAAATTAAACCATCTTGTTGTAAATAATATGTATTTAGAAGGAGAGAAAAATGCAAAGGTTTAGCAAGGAGAGAAATTTTCATGTTCACATTCTCTACGGTTTTGGAAACATAATGATGAAATTTAGGATATATCTTGCAGTTAATACTGCATGACATTTCATTGGCATAACATTTCATAAATAAAGGTTTAAAATGAGCACCTGCACTTCAGCAAAAGGTATAAACTCCAAGGTTAGTAGAATGGTAGGTTAGAGAGCATGAGGTTGGAATATTTTATGTCTTTTCTATATTCATTTTTTTTCATGCATCTTTGACAAATAATTTCAATCATATTAGAACGTTGTATTTATATTCCACTTTCATGACATGTGCAGTAGCATAGGCCTACTGTACCTCAATCATTCACTGCACACATAATATTGTAGCCACAGCTGCCCTAGGACACGCTATAAGCCAGTCTGTGCAATGTGAATCCTCCAATCACATAAACAGACGCAATCTGGGCAATTTGTGTGAAACTGTTGTGTACGCACTGTTTTGTTTGCATCGAGAGCCGCAGTCTCCCTTCCAAGTCCTGTCATTTATTTAGCAATAACTCAATTACCGTGACAGAGCGCTAATTGTCTATTCTCTGTATTTGTCTTGTGTCCCATATAGGCTCATTGTACACAGTACCGTGAAATTCTGGAGGCAGGATGTTTAGGCAAATGTAGGCTGTGAAGTAAACTCAGAACATTACACTACTGTGAGAGTAAGTTTAACAACAGTAATATTGCATGGTACGCACACACTTTCACAGTTCAAAATAACAGACACACAAAGAGACTTCACAGTGTTCTTCAATCACTCTGTGTACTGTGGTGGCAAAGTACAACTGTAGCCACATCTGCCCTGGGGCAAACTGACAGATGTAAGGCTAATAATTTGAGCTCAGACTCATACTCAGCAATGTGGTTGAAGTCCATCCATCCATTTTCTTCCACTTTGTCCATTTCTGGGTCGGGGGTGGCAGTCAGAGCTGCACCCAATCCATTGAGCACCAGTCCCTCACTGATCCACTGCTCAGTGAGGGACTCAGTGAGGCACTGTACTAACAACCCACAACCTTCAGGCCCAAAGGCCAATGCTCTACCAACTGAGCCACTGTCGCCCCTGTGGTTGAAGTACCGGACCAAAACCGGACCTGAACAAGATCTGGACCTTGACCAGACCCGGACCAAGACCAGACTAGAACAGAGACCAGGAGACCGGCCCCAGATCAGATCCAGACCAAAACCCCATAATGCTTGACAAAGACCAGACAGAGACCAAAACCAAACCCGGAACAAGTGCGGACCAGAACCAGATCAATACTAGACCCACACAAAGACAAGGCCAGAACTAAGAATGGACTCAGATCAGATTCGGCCAAAATCAGACATCAGAATCAGAATCAGAATAATTTTTATTGCCACGCAAGTAACAGGAAGTCACAGACTTGGAAATTGCTTTGGCTCAATGCAACAGTCAGAAAGAGAGGCAAGGGTAGAGACGGCATAATAAGAAAAATAAAAAATAAAAGCACTTCTAAGGAATACATTTAAATTTAAAATAGGGTTACAATTACTATATACAATACACAAGTGCACATGGTGCACACAATGTAAGGTGACAGCAGTGACATGGATCAAGACTCCAACTAGACCGGGTCCACGACTATGTATGGACCAAAACTAGACTAAGAACAAGACCAAACAGATCTAGTCCAGGTCCAGACTCAGAGTGGACACTGGTTAGATCCAGGCCAAAACCAAGACCCAAACCAGATGCGGACCAAGACCCGCGACAAAAATCAGATCCTGACTAGACCTTGACCAAGATCACACTTGGACCAAACTAGACTCAAAACAGGATCGAACCAGAACCTGTCTAAGAGTGGACCCAGACCAGACGCAGACTAAAACCGGTCACTAACAAGACCCGGATTACAGTGACAAAAAGACTAGTGAGGATTGTTCCCTATAGAAGGAGATATGACCCCAAGACACATTATGGGTCAGTTTTAGTCCTTTCACAGGTCTTTTGTAATAATGCTTTAGAACAACATACTTTTCACAACAAAGAATTTAAAAATAAATCACACATGCATGCTTTAACTACCAAAGTGGGTGGTAAAAAACTTGATTAATAATACAATTTATAACTTATACAGTCTTAACACCATTTTTATTCCATAATACATCTAAGCCCCCCTAGCATTATTTGGTGACATAGAGAAACATGTGCTCTTTGAACACAGAGAAATATCCTGTATAGACCCACACACGTGAGTATTAATCAAAAGTGAAGGAGAGCTATTGCAAGGGTACAAAGTCCATGTGCTTTTTGCCCTGGGGAGCACTATTGCCACCTACTGTCATTAATCAGCCTCACAGGCAAGATCACGCTCCTCTTTTGTACTTAGAAACTTGTATCAGATGGAGAACATATTGAAAAAGATCACTAAAAGTATTGAATAAAAGTGAATTGTGCTATTTTACTGAGACAGTAATGAATGGCAAGGGTTTCAAAATAACACAATATAGTTGGAGGATACTGCGTGAGAGGTTCTTATAACTTTCCTTAAACAACTCCTGAGATTTTTCAACATTCAATGTTGTATCACGGTGAACAATAACGAATAGGCAGTCTGTGGGTCTAAAATAAATGTAATTATAGATTTGATCAATAGAATGTAATATAATACACTATGTATAGTAAAAAGTGATATTACTCATGATGGCAGCGTTGGTTGACACTTCTGGGTTTGAACCTGATTCAGAACAGGGCCTTGCTGAGTGGAGTTTGCATGTTCTCCCCATGCATTTTCCTCTATTCCCCTATATTCAAATGCTGTAACATAAGATGCCCAATTATTTATGTATTCTTATTTTATGTTTGTCACAAGACAACAGACATGGAAATAATAAAAATATAATAAGGGTGACACAAATCTAAAACATAGCAAATAATGAAGTACATGTTGGAGCATACTCTTGTTGTGTCTAGGTGGTGCATGAATAAAGTTATGAGAGCGATAAAAGGACAACATCACAAAAAATGTAATTGCTTTATAATCATCTCTACTCACAAACATGTATATAATGTAGTTTACTTTCCGTATAGCAGCTGTTCATAATGAAGTGATAAAAATAGAGTGCACACATGAGATAACCAAGCAGTAAAAAAATACACTTTCGATATAATGAATGTGACATCCACGACTTTACTGCCCTCGTAATCTATTTACTATAAAACTCTACCATAGCAACACATTTTCTACCACCTAATCAACTTTTTCAATATTATTGTTTTTTCAGTTCCTCCATTAAGCATTGTAACACTATTTAAGATGACCTATACTAAGACCCATGTAAAAACCCATACACATGTATACATATACATTAAAAATAATGAGAATAATAAATAAATACATTACATGCCGGACTATTGAGCGTACCTGCATTTAAAGCGCACCAGCTAAACTTGAAACATAGTAAATGATGTCCTCATATAAGTAATATAAAAGCCACATCTGATAGACAACATGATTTAATTATGAGTTGTTTTTAACAGTATGGACAAAGCTTGGTAAAAAAAACAAAAAAGATTGGGGATGCAAACACTCACTCACGTTGGTATTAACATGACTTCCATGACTCAATTACCAATATGACAATAAACTAGCATCATAAAGCTCCTTAACCTGGATACATGTAAGAAGTCCATACTCCAGACAGAAGCCAAACTCTATAGTAAAACTTCATACAAATACGTTGGCTGCATTGCTTTATAGGCCACAGGGTTCACAGTGCAGAAAAGTGAGTCAAGGTAACTCAAAGCTCTTCACAAAACAAGATAGAAACAGTCACATAAGGCATTAAAAATAATACATATTCAGAGTGAAGATAAAGCTCTTCATTTCTGATCTCTTTTCTATTCGAAACACATTGAATTTGCCTATATTATAAATAGAACCATTTCCTCTCTATTTGATACACTGTACTACCAATGTGTTCTTATTTGTCATAAGCAGTATGTCACAGGATATTGCATATACGTTAGCGCTAATATCTTTTCTCTGGGGCCCATATGACAGCAAAGCATCTATCTTTCTTGAGTTTCTCTGGGATCCTTGGTCGCGTTACAGGGTTCAATACAGGACATGGCCTAATGAGGAAATGCTTGGTCTTAAGTTACAAGGCTGCTAGTTAAAGGACTATTACCTGTCGACTAACCTTATTCTCGCTCCATTTGCTGCTTCAATTGTCTGGGTGTCGCCAACATGCCATTAGCCAAACTGCAGCGATACTGAATGGCATTTTAGCTGGAGAGTTCTCAAATAATGGTTTTGAAAGATTACAAAAGCAACTTAAACACATTTGCCATCCTAAACTGGGTAATTAAATTCAGCTGTTGTTCAATAAATAACCTTTGAGAAATTAGAAAAAAAAAAGAAATAATTAAAAAAGTAGAAAAGACAATTAAAAATGACAAAGCAAGTTGAGTTGGAGGTTATTGTGAGGGGTGTGGAGAACTCAGACGCCTGAAGCAAAACTATTGCAGCTTTCTAACAGAGTTGCAGCAAAGAGATATGGACGAAAGGTCGTGGCGTACACACGTTGAATACATAGTTTAATTAATCATTAAAATCCTGCCTAGACGTTATTATCCATCTATGATTTTAATGTTTACTTGCATTTCAATGTTGGCTTGTGTAAGAACCATGTAGATATGTGACAATGTGTTGCAGGTTGAAATAAATGAAATTGCATACAAATAAAATTAAAGTAAATTTAAAAAAACAAACAAATGTATTTTGAATTAACCAATTTATTCACAGCCTTTTTTCCGTGTCCTGAACCAGAAAAGACGCAAAAATGACAACTATCACAAAATCCCTATGGCCAAATACAGTGACACGAGTCATTCACACCTTTATTTATATAATAGCTGTCATTTGATAGCGTTTCGGTGGTGGGCGTGCCGTGACACACTCTCCTAGGATTAAGAGGGTCCCATGGGTCACTCACTGCTCAAATTGAAACAGTCCAATGCAGAAAGCAGAGAGAAAGAACCAACATAATACACATATACCATGCAATCATAGTGCCTATTGCATTTCTGTTGCATGAATGTATAATGAATGCTATTGGAATCTTAACTCCAGATCTCAGAAAAACGGCCACCCAAAAATGTTCCTTTTTTGTATGATGTTAGCCAGCAATTTGTATGCTTTACTTTTCCCAATTGCGTTAAAAATGTATAGTCTCTCTTGCTACTCAATATGTAGTAAGGTAGGCATGTGGTGAGATGATTTATTGGTGCGAATTAAATCTAAATTAGAGTTATTGTATCCAGTTACTTCAAAATGGGTCATCTATTTTTAGACCTGGCACTTTTGCATTTTAAAGAAATGCAGATAATGTTATGCAGTAGTCACTTATTCATTACAAGACGGATATAAGCTTGGGTTTAAATAACCTACAGATGTATTTTGTTGCAACATTGAAAGAAAGGAACAGGGTGTCTAGGGTCAGAGCAAAGAGTGTTTGGGTTGGTGATCAGCGACTCAAACTGCAGTTGTGATTTAGGGCAATACATAAGTGAATTGTACTGCATGTACTTCACAGTTTCATAATGGTATTTTATTGTATTGTATTATGTGTATTACCTTGTTGAATGGGTGAGAGGGGGTTGGGAAAAGAAATAAGCGTTTGCTTCATCCAACCCCTTTTCAAACCTGTATTCGTGTGAAGATATTAAAATTGTGTTCTGTAAGTTTGTAACTCACTAACTAAAACCTATTAACGATAGAAACACAATATAAAACATTACTATTATTGTTGTTTCAAAGAATTGCACGTATGCTATCCCACTAGAATCTGGGGTTAATTACAAGCAGTTAAAATTATCCCTAGAAATAACCACATCAAGTGCAAGTGCTCTATCCATGAACAGGATACACGTCCCATATCTCTTCACATGCAATCTTACGGTGACATCTCATAATAAATACAAAAATATATGTTTTTAGTTCATGATGTCGCGTTAAGGTCAGTCCGCTGGCTGCCTGAAATCCCCTCTTTGTGTTTATACATCCGGGTCCCTCCTGCTCCCAGCCCATTCCCCCATTAGAAGCCATTTTGGACATAGATCAGTAACATGCATGTAAACCCGACCGACCTCCCGACGCTCCACTGCTATATCCTACTAACCGAGTGATTACATCCAGGGAAAGACTCCTCGCTTTTTCCCGCACACTTTTTTCGTCTTTTGTGCTCCAATTCCGTCTCGCAATGTTGCCAATATTGAGCGACTAGCGAGCCCATTTCTCGCCTCGCTTGTATCGCTTCGCTCCGAACATTGTTGCAAAGGCAGGAGGCTACATTGACACGCGTTGGGAGCTATTTGCTGTGGTGGCTAGTTGGTGGGGGACTAGAAACACTGCTAGGCTATAGGCCCCCCTTCAGGCAAATCGTTCTCTTATTTTATTGTTTTTTTTTTCATCCTTGATGCGCTGATGGTTCGGACTATACCTGAGTTTTAATGTGCCCCAAGGAAAGCGAGGGGAATCGGGAGCCTCGTCTGTATCGCTGGGAACATGTCTCTTTCATGGCTCACTTGTTCACTTCTGCTGGGAACTTTATGCGCAGGTAAGCAGCTTATAAACGTCCTATTTCATCAATACAAAGTGGGACTGTGTATGGGGAGTTGTTTTCGTTGAATCTGACACTTTTGCGAGTTTTTACGCGCGGTGTAGTTTGTTCGCTTGCAACTTTGTCTGGCGTGGAGAGACTGGACCAAACAGACTACAGCCATTTGTTTTCGCTTTCCCCTTGGCTTTTCGCGTCCCCACGACATATTTTCACCAGAGCACAACCCCCAATATTGACTTTTAACACGACATGGAATCGAATCGAGCTTTTGATCGATTTTTAAAGCATTGCAAAGGCGAAACTGTTGCTTTGTGCGTCGCCTTTCTTTGGCAAATAGTGCAGGAATAGACGACAACAGCTGCACTAACATCCTGAAACAGTATACAGGCGTCATTGGACTATGGTTTGTGGTTTAGGATCTTACGAAAACATCCTTCTTCTCGACGTTTTTTACACAGATCAATAAAAAATGGCGAAAGATTTGGAGAGATTTGGCCGCTGCTATTATCCCGTCAAGTCTTTATTGTGGTTCCCAGGTTTTATTGGGGCATTTCCAGAACGATAATTTGGTAGCACGTGAAGGCAAGAGGGAAGATTTTTTTCCTTTTGGGGATTTTGACACTCATCCAAATCTATGTGGTTTCAGAAAGTAAATAGTACACAATTGACCGCGCTTACTTGGTGGGTCAGATGCATGTATGTTTTAACAAGGGCAGACAGCGCTTACGATCCTTAAATGTGAGCCTTATATAGTTTAATTTATAAACTGCTCATTATTAGGTGAGGAGATGCTTTATAATGTCCTTGTACTTGCGATGAATTCAATTATGAACAACTTTACTTCAAATAATTTTCTTCCGTACATGTTTTTGTCACACAAATCAAACAGTATCTACCACAATATATTGTGTTTAAATATGTGAAATATTATTGGTAATGGCAGGTAATCTATTTCATTACTTATTATTTCTGAGAGTTCTGTTATTCAACGATTGGAGGAAAATGGTAGGAAAATATCAAAACACTTATATATATGTATATTGCTTGCCCAAATATGCAAGAATACTGAATACATATTTTAACCCGTTAGATTGTATTCAAAGAAATTCATGGTTTTTTTAGACATTAAAAGTAAGGCAACTTGTCTTGCACAGTTCAAATTGCCTAACTAAACAACTTGAATATAATCACACAAGGCATTGACATCATAAACCGTCACACTTCATTAAAAAAAGAGTGAAGAGACAACACGTCCGTTGTATGCACAGCTAAACAGACCAGTTTTAAAAATGGATTCAAACATTGTCAAACTAGAAAAGTAGATGCAGTCTGTTGTAAAATGCAGTTTAGCCCACACATCAAGTGTATTGAAATACCTGATTGCACATACACAATTGTATTCATTTAGCCTAGGTCTTGTTGTAAAATTTTCAGCGGAGGTGGCCCAGCTGTGCGTTGTGTGTGCGTGGCCCTGTCCTAATGCCTTTATCATGGTTTATAGATTAGGGCCCCACGGCCGCTCTATACGCTCGCGTATAAGCTGCTTCTCTTTGAATTCGCCTTGTTGTGGTGTAAAGCCTCGCTTAAGTGACACAGCGGAGAGGGGGTTGGGTGGATGATCGTGTAGTAAAAGTCCTCCGCGGGATCACGTGTCCAAAGCACAGATATCAGAAATGCCATCCCGACTCAATGGAGCAGTACGGCCCCCCCTCTCCCTTCTCCCTATCTCTCCTCTGTCCGCTGGTGCCATGCCGTGCGTAAAATGTGTGTGCGCGCGCAGTCTTGTCCATATACCAAGCTCCTTAATAATGTTCCTATGGTGCTCGCTGGTTACGTGCATACCTGGTGCAATAATGAATACTATTATCACGCCGGACAACCGAAAGTGCCTCCTCCCCTCTCCCCCTCCTCGCGGTATTCTATGCGTGTGTTTGTGTGCGCGTAATGGGTTTGTGTGGGTAACATTTGGGGGGGTTATGGGGGGGATGGGCAGCAGCAGTAGCGCCTATAGGCAGGGATTTAAAGGGACAGGACTCTGTTTTTCAAGGCCCCTGTGAACAAAGATCAGCGAGAAAGTCCGAGGGATATTGTGACTGGACTTTTCCATAGGGTTGTGTCGTTCTAAAATGAGTCCAAGGATTTATCAAAAATTTCGACGTATAGAAGGTGATGGAAACAGCCTGTATATAATGGTCGTAGCCTAGAAAATAAATGATAGTCTCGACATATTGGTGTCGTGACCATAGAATGTATAGATCTTTAGTCTGAGGTTGTCGCAATCATTTTTTAATTCCATTTCAAAACAAACCTTTGATCCACAGTGATTATTTATACATGTTACCTTGGACATTAAACTGTAATTCTTAACTCAGAGGGGATGCAGAAGGTAGATGAGTTTCTGATTGGTCGCTGAAGTCGAGCCGGTCCAATTGCAACAATCGCTGGAAATGCATGAGGTTACATTCAATTTATTTTATTATCGCCCTAAATCATAACAGTACTCGTAGGACGCTACAGCCGTTGCCGGGTGGCAGCTGCAACAGTTTGAGCATAAACACCCTAGCTTCCCTTTTTGGCACAGTTCCTCCAGCTCAAACATACCAAAACACCCTTTTAACCTGTAATATTATTGAAATACAACAAAAAAGATGGCAATGCAGCTTCATCACTATTGTCCATGTTTTTTATTAGCATTTTCCATACCATCTTGTTTTTGAGTGCTTCATATTTTCTTAATGTTCATGAACAGTGTTTTGTCAATACTGGTATTTATTCTTTGTTGAAAAGACAACGCTGATTCACAACCTCTAATATTTAGTCTTTCAGCGCACCAGTTGTCATTCAAAACAAGTGTTGTATAATGTATTTCATTTTAAATGTTGGGTTTAAAAAGACATAGGTCTGTTGTGCACTCAGAACATGCAAAAAATGTGCCCTTGAGTCAAGAGCGTTACAAAGAATCTCAACTATGCTTCATAATACAAAATGTGGGTATGTTTTTGTTAATATAGTTGTGGTTGCATCATACTTGATTACTTTTTTATACGTAGATTAATCACTAATAAGAATCTACTTCTGAGAGATTTGGTCGTCCTCCACAAAATATGTAAAATTTTCTGTTAAGCGTCTCTTTATCAATTTACCTTGAAACACGAGACAATTCGATCTTGGTTATAAATTCTACACAGCTCCGTAAAGCCACTGTAGAAAATCTCATTCATAAATGTTTTCAGTCACAGAGTAGTATCTACAATTGGAATTGGGTGGCATAGTGGTGCAGTGCTTGGCTCACAGTAAGAAGGTCCTGGGTTCCATTCCTTTCTGTGTGGAGTTTGCATGTTCCCCCTGTGTCTGCGTAGGTACATCCAGGTGCTCCAGTTTTTCCTACCACAAAAAATGTGCACAATAGTTCTGAAAGTAATGAATGAATGGTGGTAGTTGGAAGCTTCAATTGTACCATTGTGTTTGGCGTCTCACTTCTGTCATCACCATTTATGGAGAGACTATATGTTTATATTGATATTGACCAAATTCCATTTCTTATCTTTTGCATTGGAGTTCATTGATTTAATTGACTACTTTTGGAATCCTTGTCAAATTAATATGTAAAAGAAACCGGCTATATAATATCTCTTTTAGCATAGAAAGTGTGTATATAAAGGATTTTTGCCTTCATGAGTACAGCTTTTTTGCTGTGCCATTTTGAAAACATTTCACATTCCTTTTCCATTCATTCTCTGAATATCTTTATTTGGTGGAGAAAACTCACATCTGTTGGATACAAAATGACTATGTGAAGTCTATTCAAATTATACAGCGGCTACTAAGTGAAATACTGAAAAATGGCTTCCACTGTATAATACACAAGTTTTTGGGGTTATCTGTTGTGTTATTAAGAGTAGGAGAAACCTATCCACCCAAAGCCAACTTACAGACACAAAGAGAACATGCAAACTCCACTCTGAGCCAGATGAGTTTTGAACCCAGAGCCTTCTTGCTCTGGGTTCAAAACTCACTAAGAAATATCAATTTTTGTGGTAGCAACAGAAGGGACTGGTAATTGTTTAGGATAAAAATGTCAGCGGTACAGCAGTCTTGTCAATATAATGAATATAGAACAGAGAGAAGGAAAATCTGAGGCACTCTTGACTATTATTTTAGTAATACTCATATTTAGTACTTTTAGGAAAAATAGATGGTATTGATTATGCCAGCAGTTTTGTTTTCTTTTTATGAAAGTGGAAAAAATGAACTTGGAAATCAAGATTGGTCAATTCCCTATCCTGATAGGGGTCCCCCCCCCAATCACCCATCCCAATAACCCATCAGAGCAAGGCAAGTTTTCTTAAGCCTAGCGTACATCGGACTGGCAACTGATTATATCCGTTGTCTATGCTGCCCCGCACACATCGACAATCTGACGAAAACGGGCAATTCTCAGTAGCAGACCAGTCTCGGGAATAACAGCGCGTACATCGACAGCAACTGGCCCTCAACCACAGTGTGTTTTCTGACATAAACTGTTGCGGGCTCGCAATACACGCAATACACACACATTGTCGGAGCGGCGCATGGAGCGCGCACATCGGGTCATATCTCCGAAACTGAGGACAACTAGTTGCCGAAAAGTAGAACACGGGCAACTGACTGAAACTGGAGACCGACTGTTCATCTCCAGTTGTAAGAGCGCGCACATCGACCGATTTCGGCAACTGATCATCTCCCACCATCTCCTCTCAGTTGCCAAAAGCCGCCTTGCAACTAGTTTTCTCCAGTTTCTCTGTCAATGTACGCTAGGCTTTATACCCCAGTTCATGCACAAGGCAACTCCAAGATGCTTTACGAAACATGTACATGAAAGGCATTAAAATTATAAATATTCACAGTTCACTAAAACAAGTAAAGATGAAATCCTTCAGTTGTAAGCACAGCTCATCAGAACTGTTTTTAATCTGTATTTAATCACAGTTGAAGCCTGTTCCAGATTTTAACTTCTT